AATTTTTATCGGAACCGTTTTTCGTAAACTGTAACTAGTTGATTGTTTACCAGTATTCAAATTAGCGAGTACACAAACATATTGGCTATTATCGTTTATGTGTATAAGTATTGAACTGAAAGAAACTAACGAAGAATATATGTATTATAACTTGAAAAATAAATTAAACAATACAAATAGTATCTACTTACATTTAGATGGACTTAAGTCATCTTTATCAGTTTCTTTTTGTTGTACTAGTTAATGTTTAATAGTATAATCTTCTTTTTCTTTTTTTTATAGAAGTAACCAGCTTCAACCATCAACTAGTTGATTTTAACGAATTTAACCGAAAATTTAGAGTTTAACACGGTTTTATTAGGCTGCTGCCATTTTTCTGGAAACCATAATTCAGAAAACATCGCTTTTAAAATTAGTGAAATTATTTTTCAGTGGGGTCTAAAACAAAAAGTAATTTTGCAGTAACTGATAATGCCTCAAATATGGTCATAGCTATTAAATATGTTTTGGAATGAAAACATTTAAATTGTTTTGCTCATACGTTAAATTTATTGATGGAGGATGCACTTAAATGCTGTCGTGTACAAATAGATAAAATAAAAAGTCTTTTTTTTCGACAATTCGGCAAAAAACACATTTCAAAAAAGTACCTTATCTTCAGAAACGCTTTTAAAGTGTCAATTACAACATAACAAAGATCCCAAACGGCCAATTCAAGACGTGGAAACTAGGTAGAACTTCACATATTACATGTTAGAAAGAATGATGGAGTTAGAAGAGGCAATCCGTTCCACATTGGTATCAGTTAATACAGACTTAGACTTAGACCAAATCTAAATAATGAAGACTGGATTATTTTTACGTAATTGTCCCAAATTTTACGGCCTTTTAAAGAAATAACAAGTACAATGAGTGGCCAAAAATACTTGAATGATAGTTCAGTGATTGTTCTGGTACGCTGCCTGCAAAAATCTTGCAATAAAATTTTAGCAAACAGTAACCTTACATCCATAGTATCCGACGTAGTACGGGTTTTTATTGTCTATTCGCTTAGCTAGGGCATATTTTGACAGACTCATTGTCGGAAACCTACAACACAACAATTCCTATTTCTCAGTATTAATAGCTCAAGTAAATTACTATTGCAGACTTCTTTCTTTGAAAAAATGAAGAATTATTCTAAATAGTGGAAGTGTATACTAAACCCATCAAATTTTCCTTGTATATTTAATATTTGAATTGTTACAATTTAAAATATTGTAGTAAATATTTGTATTATTCGCGTTGTTTATTTAATTTAATATAGTTTTATTGTTTTATTATCTTTAGTTTTAACTTTTAACTTTTAGTTATAACTAACGTTTAGTTAGTTATATTTTAAATTTTATTATTATGGATATTCAAAGTTTTCCATTTGTTCCATCAGCTAATGCGTTGGTAAGTTTTTCTTAATAAATATGATAAAATGTTTTTTAAAAGTTAATATTTTTAGATTAGTTGTTTCTAATTTAATATAAACTTGTTTATACTTACATGGAGGTTTTTGTTGTTTGTTTGGGTTTATATGACTGCAAACTGCGGCCAGGACACTGAATTCATTCACCATAAATGGAAGATTTGAACATCCTCAAATGCTAATGAGCAAAAATTACTATTGAACCACGAATTTGCCTAGTCAAATTACTAATATTTGCTTTTAGCATATGGAAGAACACTTATTTTGTAAGATAATAAAACAACAGTTTATGTTAATGCTATCCAATGAACTGTTAATCTTTAATCATTGATTCCACAGATTATAAGACAAGAAGATCGCCAACCTTAATGTTAAAAATTGCCGATACGATTTACAGCGCCCTCTACGATAGAATTCTACACTAAATGCTAATAACTTTGTAACTTACCTTAACGAAGGCCAAAAAAAAGAAGACAGAAATCTGTTAATGAGAAGCGGGAAATTCAAAATTATTGTAGGAATTCTCTATAATTTAAAGGGACACTGTCAAGATAAATTGTAAAAATAAAAATATATCCGTCTGAACGTTTCAATATATCACATTTTTAACAATACAAGTGTGTTGGTCGTGTTTGAAGTTAAATTGGTTAAAAATTGTTTAGAAATGAAATAAACCGAAACGTTCGGATGCAAAGAATTTTATTTTTACCACCATCTTAAACAAGTCCTATTAAATTATAGGAATTAAAATTTACTGGTTATAAAACAAACCATTATTGCTGTAATTCATTTCACACATTTGCATAACATAATTTTAACAATGAGTAAATAAATCATAAAAATTCTATTTGGCAAATGTGAAGTTCATAGTTCATATGACAGAAGAAAGATAGAATAAGGTTGAATCTCACTCAAGCTAGGAAAAAAATAAAAATGTTCTATATAGTACAAGTGTTTTATTTATGGTGGTGGTGGAGATATAAAAACATAAAATACAAATAACAATGTCCAAAGAAAAATAACAATTTTAACTATAGTAATACACACGTGAAAATATCAAAATTTATCTGACTCATTATTAACATACACAATATCATTATTGAAAAGAAAATACATAGGTTATTGAAGAAGAATTATACATACATTTATATTTGCATAGGATGACACATATATTATATCGTCTTTGGATTTCGATCACAATACAGATTATAAGACAAGAATCACATTTATCACAATAAAAACGAGATTTGACATCAATCATTACCTGGAGTGACATCTGTGCTAGAAAATATTACTAAAAACGTTGTCGTTGACAAGACTATTCAAGTTAACCCCCCCTGATTGATTCCATCCTAGTCACAACATAAGGAACTTGCTGTGTCTTATTTAACCTCACTTTGACTTTTTAATTTTGTAGAATTTATTCCCACTTTTTTTTTTTTATTTTGTACAATAAATAATTTTATTATTTGTTATCCATACATTATACGGTGTAATAAAACAAATAAATAAATATTGATTGTCGGCAAGGTTCTATTTTATTTACTTTTGTTTACATTAATATTGACTAAGAGCACGTATGCTTGGTTGTATAGTAATTTCCAGCCACTTCGAGTCTGTCAAAAAGTAACTAACTTCGCAAAAAAATAATTACTAAAATCACTAGACAGTTCGGACTGGGAATAGCGAACCGGGTATATTACTAATTACGGGATAATTACTAATCTCGGGTTTAGCAAAAAGATTTAGAGGGATAGAATACAGTGGCATATTGTCATTATGTACGTTTATGGATTCACGATTTAAAGTGTAGGGATTTTCTGATAAAAATGACGCTAAAAAAACAAAAGAAGGAGTTAAGAAGCTGGTTACTTCTATAATTAAAGAACAAGAAGATTGTACTATTGAAAATCAACCAGTATAAGAAAAAGAAACCGATAAAGATGACTTAAGTCCATGGTGTATTTTTGATCAATTAATTGGACATGACTCATCTAAACGTACACCTGTAGCGAGAGTCCATTCCAATGGTGGAAAAACAATCGCCATGTATCTCCTAACTTAACCACTATATTCATAAAGTATTGTAAATGTGAACACATGTTCAAAATCAGGTTTAATTTTAAATAAAAGAAAAACACGGTTAATAAGAAGTAAAGTAAAAAAACTTATGTTTTTAAATGTCAATTTAGACGATTCGTGATTTAATAATAACGTATAATGTAAACGTAGGTACGATTTACTATTTGTATTGTTTAGTTTAGTTTTCAAGTTATAATAAAATCTTTTATTAGTTTCCTTCACTTCAATAAATATACACATAAACGATAATAGCCATTATGTTTGTTTATGAAGGTAGTTTCTTACTTGAAACTACTATTAAAAAATCATAGTTACTTGTTTACGAAAATCGGTTTTGCGACGTCAATGACCCACCTCTATTCGTAAATACCTGTACGCTTTGATTCGGTGATTTGACCACGCGACACGCCACGTTGGCAAATAGTTTTGTACGAAGCTTTTTTATTTATATGCAGTTTAATATTTTTATTGGAAATAAGGCATAATGCAACTTTAAAATAAGCTTATTTTGATGTTTAGATTTTTAATTCAGAAATCGTTTTTAAAATACCAAACATTAATAAATTTTATTTATATAAAACGATTTCCGAAGTATAAATCAAAATGTTATATTACACTTATTGTAAAGTAAAATTGTGGCATATTCCCAATAAAAAACAATAAGCTGCCATTTAAATCCATTTCGCCCAAATTTCATTATTGGAGCATTGTTCAAATGCGAAAAAGACAACACGTCAAATAAAACCAATAAGTTTGGCAACGTTGAATTTCCCTTTTTTATTATATCCACTCCATATCCACTCATTTATGTTCGGTGATGTAAAAGGCGGACACCTAATATATCTCTCTCTTTTTAAACAGTTGTTTCTCACTCCATCTCATGTAAGGTCCATACCGACCATAAACTTTTACCTATACTGTATATATATATATATATATATATATATATATATATATATATATATATATATATATATATATATATACAAAAGGAACATTTTTATTCTCGAGAGAGAGAGAGAGAGAAAGAGAAAGAGAGAGAAAATATATCTTCTGTCTCTCTCTTACTCATATCTTAGAAGTATAACTTCAAACAACTGAAAACTTCATATTTATTTAAGATTTATTTTTATTATTATTTATTTAGAATTTAAGAAATATTTAAAATGACGAAAATCAAAATTGAGAAATTAGAATTTAAGAAATTAATAAAGTCATTTCATGATTATTACCAAAATTTATTTCGCAAAATCTTTTTACCTCTCACTCACAAAAATTTGTAATGATCTAGCTAAATGCCTAATATATTGCCTACTAGTAGGGGCGCAAATATAATAACCACAGATCACCGTGGTCTGTGATGTGATAACCGGTTCCGGTACGACAATAAACATAAACAGCTTGTTAAAAATTTCTTAGAACTATTTAATATACTACTTGACACTAAAAATAGATATTTTACCTTAATTGACAATGCCATCACGATTAATTGAGATTAACTAAATACACTGTACACCTTGCACCTACTATAATATAGTAAAGAAGTAAGTTTTAAGTTACACACCGACTGACTGACTATCGTAATTCGTAATCCTATATCAAAAAATAACAAAGGCATCAAATTTCAATAGTTCCAAATAACCCCGTCGATTGTGTAATTTGGATCAATAACTTCTATACGACACAAAATCTATTTTAATGTTGGAATGGTTATCAATATGTCCTTGAGCTTTTCATTCAATAACGATAATCTTTTTATTAAAGAAAGATTACATAAATGAAAGTTGAAACATCAACGCATCAACATTTGTATAGGCAACCAGTTTATCAATTGAAGGTATTATTGGTATTAAAAACGTAACGAGTGGACGTATAAATTTGGAGGTGAAGTATAATCACAGAATAGTATAATACATATTTAATCATTATTTATATGTAGAATCTGTACGGACTGTGAAGCACTGCTATATACGGGGTAAATTAGAGAAAGCTAAAAGAAACTGAAAATCAAGTACAGGCTGGGAATACCCACGAAGTGTTTAAAGTAAGAGAGAGAGAGAGAGAGAGAGAGAGAGAGAGAGGGGGGAAGAGATAGATAGAGAAGACCATGAGAGAAGACATAATATATAATGTGTATAATCAGAATGTATACCACAAAGTATACCAAATTACCAATACCAAAATATAATAATTAAACAATGATAATAGTATATACAGAGTACATACTATATACCACAGAGAGAGATATATATGTAGCTACGCTGTCTATGCGTCCACATTCGTTTATAAAAGGAAAGGTATGGTACATCCGGTCCAAAAAAAGCCTAACCCCGACATCCAAAGTAAAAGTTTTCCTCCAACACCAAATTGTTGAATATTAGTCCATATTGTTCAATAAAAAGTTACAACATTTTATACATCGGGTTTTGAGAGAGAAGTCAGTAAATTTATATTTTTTACGTTTTTCGTCAATATTTCTAAAACTGTGCGGTTTAGCGTGAACAAGGTCATATAAAAAAATGTTCTAAATTACATTTGAAACAAAAAATGTCCTATGCATAATCTTTCTAAAATAAACGGTTTTTACGGAGGGTGTACATGTAGACCATGCTAGATAACATTAATAACATTACGAGAAATTAATTAGTTTTGAAAATTATAAAAGTAAACTGGAAATAAAGATGTTAAAATTTATAAACCGTAAAAAAATTAAATAAGTATGAAGTATTAAAACATTAAAACACCTGAACTCTGTTCCTTATCAATAGAAGTTATAGGAGATAAAAACGTGAACTGTGATAAAGCGTGAACATTTGAAGTTGGAACCCTGGCCATAGTATATTGCTAAATAATTATTTAGCGATAAACTGTGCCCTGGCTTTAAAAGACATTGAAAACAAAACATTCAATGAGATACACTTCAAAAGATAGCTGTTTAGTCCCTAGCCTCGATAACCAGGTGTGCACAGAAGGAGTGATGAGAGACTTGCAAGAAATATTTCTATATGAATGTATCCTCCATCTTTTTTCAAGGAATCTGGCTTGATGAGAAAGCAAATCTTCAATGGATACTGTTTTGGTTCCAGACTCAAAAGAATCAACATGTACTCTAGATTTATTTATGGAGGTCACCTCCCTCGTCGTGGTGTCTGACGACGCCCAGCTACCTTCAAAGAGATTTGTGAGCAATACAGAAAATACGTAATTACTCATTATGTAACAGCGACTATTGTATTTGATGGATACCAACAAAGAAATGAAAAAAAAAACACCTACGCAGGGGACATTCTAGCATTTAAGTAATAGTTGAAGACTAAATCCATGTAAATAGAAACCAAAGTGAAGTTTTAGCTAAGGCGTAAAACAAAATGGGTCTTTTATTTCACTTCTTATAGTACACTTGCAAATATATGGTTCATGGTACAATTGTAAATCATTATTTGAGAGTGCTCCTTGTAACATTTCATGTGTCTTGGTTTGTTTATTTCTAGTGCATCTTGATTGTGATTTTAGTGTAGCCTCAATAAGGAATTTTCCATCTTCATGGTTCAACATCTACCAACCTACTAGTTTATGCTGCTTACATTATAATTGCATGGAAAAATAGTTTTCATGTGGGGAATAGATTCCATTCCAGGGTAGATAATTGCCTTTTATTGCATAACCTGGAATTTTTCATGTGTCTGGCGAACTTCTTCACTTTTAGTAAAATGAAAGACCAGTCTTTATGTGTCACAATGAAAGGCTTTACTTCAACTGAATACTTTCCAAGCTCTGGAGAGCTCCAAGGTTGCATTTAGTACCTCTACTCTTTGCAGTTTTTGATGATGATTCATCAGATCCGTGACTGGCTGAGAAGTCTTAGCATATGCAGATGACATAAAACTATTTTGTATTATTCAAGACTGTTCTAATTGTATTGGGTTACAAAAATCACTGGACAGCTTTACAAACTGGTGTGTTAACAAATTAATTACTAATCCTGAAAAATGTCAAGTAATTCAGTTTTATATAGCTTTTGAGCTCATAGCTTTTAATTAAAATTTTAAGAATATTTTGATTAAGAGTTTATCAATTAATTATAATAATTGCCCAATTTTGGAAATTTGATTAATCATTTTAAAGTGAAACACCTTAATTGTATTGCCAGTACGTTTGTGTAACATTTCTGGTGCTACCTTTTTTGAATATCTATAAATATGTACCAACTTTGAAATGACATGAAAAAAATATCCCAGATATCATTTACATATTGAAAAACAACTTTTTTGAAGTATAATATGAAAATCAAAGTATTTGACTAAATAACTAAAAGTTGACTAAGTATTACTTCAGGATCGTCTTATGATTCTTTTTGGATTTCGTTTTAATTTACCAAATTTTCAACTTGAATGTTATAGTTATCATAGGAAGTTTACATATTAGCAATGAATCATATTCCACTAGAAAATATAGTGAAATAGAAAATGTGCAAATGGGTGCTTTAATTGGATCTCTTACATAAATAACAACTACTTAGTAACTTAATTTTTATTAAATAAAAAATAATATACAATACTAAGTATTTTTAACTATACATTTTGTTACTATTACCACTTAATTAACCTTCTTTACTTGTAAGATGCAATGTCGGCTGGGCGTTCAGGAAATTCGTTGTAGAATTCCAATAAACCAGTAGCTTTTCCAAAAACAATAGTACCTGTTAAGACTCCAACTCCAAGGGCTAAATGGGCATTGTATTTGCGTTGGTTAGCATCATAATTGGTTTTCCAACTTCCCTGAGGCTGAGGCAGATCATTGTAGGTGGATTGAACAGCATGATCACCATGGTGAGCGTTTCTTCTGGTACATCCCCTGATTACTGGGCTAGTTAATAACCTTCTTAGTTGCATTTTTGCAGCAATTTTTAATTTTTTAAGTTATGTAACTTACTGACCACTCAATTCGAATCAAGTATGCAGCATAGTACATACCCCCCTAGTAAGGTAACTCCCATATAAAGTTTTGGAAGAGAGTTTCTAGCGCCAAATACGGACGGGCCGAAACTAATTTCATTTGGCGGCAAATTCAAAACATAAATTCAGAATTTTAGGCGGCAAATTCAAAAAATATGCTCTGAATTTTAGGCGCCAAAATTCAAAAAGTATGTTTTTAATGGAAAGTAAATATAGTCATAAAATAAGAAATAAAAACTTATTCTATGCCAGAAAATATATCCTCTCTGTCCAAAAATATAGTATACACCTACACATTTTTATATATATATATATATATATATATTATATATATATATATATATATATATATATAAATGTATAACATAATATCTGATACAGAGAGAGTATATATTATGGTACAAGAAAGTTTTTATTTAATATTTTATGATTATATCTGTTTTCCATTACATTAACAAACCAAAGTCCCAAAAATAACAAAATAAAACACAAACATCCTGACACTTGTTTATTTGTATAATTTTCTTTGGTAAAGTATTGGCAACATATCCTCCTCCTCCTCCTTACTTAAGCCCTTGTTAAGGTGTGGGTGGGGACACTCTAAATATTGTTAACTTGCTGTCTCCATTGGCTGCAATTCTGTACCAGATGAACAACTTCGTGAAGGGATTTTTCCACCAATCTTCATTTAATCTTCCCATCATGTTGTGAGATCGTCATTTTGATATACAAATATAGATACCTCTATATTTATTAGCAATGGTTTGTAGTAAGTTCCATACCTTCTAAAATACTTTTCCTTAAAGTACCATATGTAGATAATAAAGTGTAAACCCTAGCATGTCTGCGATCTTGCTCTTCACAATGATCACAAATTGGCATGTGACTCAATGTAACTGTTACTCAGAAGTAGAAGATCCATGAAAATCTAAAATAATGAAATATTATTAAAATTAAGAATGTATTGACTTTTTTTATAAAATAAGGCCAATTTTGGGAATGCAATTAAAAGAGTCATAAGAGTTTTTTTTATAAAATAAGGCAATGTTTAGGAATGCAGTGATAAGAGTTAAGAGTTTTAATGAGTTTAAAATCTATACAGTATATAAATATAAGATTAATGTTAGTTAAGATTGAAAGGTAAATTAACTACAAAAACAAAATAGTATCAAGTTTGTATTTACTAAAAGTTTGGTATAATTAGGTGCTGTTCTTACCTGGTGCTTGTAAAAATAAACTCCTAATCCTCAGAATGTTTAATAGCCGTTTGTCCAATAACTTTCACCCATCAACAAAAAATATTCTTGGGAAATACTATACCATTTTGGTAATGTACCTTCTTCTTTAGCAGGTCTATTAGATATATAAAATTTGATGTATACTGTTTTTATCGTCTATTTCTAAAATTTGGGATACGACTATTGTAAACAGTGTGGTGTAGAATTGTTTATTTTCCTCATAATAAATGTCAACCATTATGAAAACAAATCCATTTCATTTTTTGGGTTTGGAAAACGAAATCGACTGTTTGTGTAGTCGGTGCAACCATGAACATAACATTTTTTTACCTTTTATTCTATTTTGTTCCATTTCAACGATGGTAAAACACAATTTTTACAATTAAGATGATAATAACCAAATCTAAACACAAATCTGAATTTGCAATATGGCGTCCCAATCTAAATTAAATTTCGCCACAGCACATGCGTCTCCACCTCCCACCTAACGTGACTAGTAGCGCCGCCGCCATTAAGAACGGATGGGCCCATGCAAAACACTATCCCCTCCCGTCCTATTCTACTTACACTACTATGGGGTATGTATTGTGGTATGCAGTGAAGGCGAAATGGCGATTGTCAATTATCAGCTGCCAAATGTCAATGTCTTATGTTGTCATTGTCAAACATCATTGTTAATTGTACTAACAATTGAGAACATTCTAATTACAGGGCAGGGATAGGCTCAATTAATTTTAAAATTCATCATTTAATCCAGTTAAATTAATTAAACTAGATCTTACAGCACATTGAAAAAATTTAATCTCAGTTTTAATTTGAAACAATGTAAGCATTTTTATAAAAACAAAAGAGTTCTAAAAATATTTAAGTAATACTTACTAGATATTCCGTGGAACAAGTTGCCTGAAAAGTTATTCATTTTGAGGTTTTCATTTACGTACCTACTATATTATTTATCTATGATATTAAACAGCTAAGCTGTACTAGTTTCAAAAAAGTTATAATAAATACCTGCTGAAACCAAGGGCGGATCCTGAACCAATTTTCGGGAGAGGATATGAACTTTTTTTAGGGGGATACCTACCGGGGGTCTGAGGAAAATTTTAAAAAATTAGGGTTCAAATTGTGAGTTTTTAAGGCATTTTTCACAAACTTTTAAGTGCCATAAAGACAATCAAAATTTGTCGATATTAAAGTATTTTTATTTGTCTAGCAACGAAAAATCAGCAAATTTTGATCTAAAACTCCACGAAGTCCATTAAGTGCAAAGAAAGAAATACAGTTTAGTGTATGAAATTAAAATAGCGTAAATAAAAGGCGAATATTATTTGTCAAGTTACTTTATTTGTCTAATACAAAAATTATTCTTGTACACTAAACCTTATAAGTACAACAAATTCGAGTTCTGTGGCTCGCTGATGTGCAAATTGCTTTATTACTTTTTCATTGTCTACTTCAATGTTTCCAGGAACAAGAAGGAGGCAACGAAGACCCGTGTGTCGGGTTTTCCCACCCTTGCCCTCAGCCAAGTCTTCAGTCTTCTTAACGTAGAGAAGCTGCTGTAGCCACACTGAATAAAAAATAATAAAATGTAAATTGAGCGTCTGTAATGTTCTTCTCGGCCATCTGGATAATTGGCTCTCTTAGTCAGTCTACCCCATCGAGCAATAAGACAAAAGAGGGAATCTAATCGTTATAAAAAGGAGACCAAAAAAGTGGCCTCTGATGGCGGACACATCCGGAAATGCAAAGGCGCTAAATTTAAATTTTCCAACATTTGTTAACAATAGCTATAAAATATTTTTCAGACTAGAAAGTTTTAATTAAATATTAACGATAATAGTCTAAAAAGTGACATAATTGGTAAAAAACTTCAATATAAATAAAATTTCATGTGACAGTTGGGAGAAACAATAACATAACCAAACTAAATTTGACTTCTTAAACAAGGAAAGAGACTGTCTATCCTTGTCTAAAGTGGCCTCTCAAGATGGCACTTCCTGTCTATCAATATGTTTACCCCTTCTACCTTTACATTCCCTCTTTTGTCTTATTGCTCGATGGTCTACCCACAAATCTGGACAGCTTCAACGTTAAATTCGTCCTATTTTTTCCAAATTATTTTTATGTTCTTATAAGCGTCAATACATGCTTCAGTGAACATGATAGCAGTTCTCTATCTTTGTTGACGCTCCTTAGTACTTCTTCATTAGTTTTCCTTGCTGTCTAAGGTATCTTCAGCATTCGCCTATGAACCGACATTTCCAATGCTTCAATTTTGTTTATGATCGATACTTTTAGCGTCCACACTTCTGCATTATATAAAAGTACGGACCAAATATAGCACTTAACCATTCTTTGTCTTAGTTCTAAACTGAGATGGTTATTGCAAAGAAATGACTTCATTTTTATAAAAGTAGTTTTAGTCATTGCTATTCTACGTTTTATTTCTATGTTTGGATTTAGTTGCCGGTTGCCTCAACTACAGTCAAAACTAAAAACAGTTTTCTCGTGGCAAGCGAGATATGTGTTAAAAAATATTTAAATTTATATTTTTTTAAGCATGGCACTTGGCTGAAACATTGCTTTTACTGCCCAGAAGAATATATGACTCAGTACAGGACATCCACTGAACTGCTTACCATGACTTCAGCTTACCGTGACTTTGCAATAAGTAATTTTATATTAATCTTTGTTCTTATTTGTGATGGTTTTAAGTTATGTTTTATATTCCTTTTTTATATAGTCTGTATTTTTGATTTTCTTCAAACAATAATATTTGTATTTGTAGTAGTAAGCAGTTAAATAGTTAAATAAAAAAGAAACCCAGTGCCAATATTTTTAAAATGCATAGTAAAAAAAAAGAAAATCGATATTTTGTATTCTACGCCTTTATGAATTAAAACAGGTAAGTATTGCAAGAAAATCGACAACCTTGACGTATGTCAAAATATTTTTACTAATAATTTTAGTCCAAATAATGAATCCTATTTCATTTACAAAACAACTACAAAAGGTGTTTAAAGACACAAGTTACGAACTTCATAAACTGTTGGAAGATAATGAACTGATTGCCATTAAAAATGAATTTGATCAAGAAGACGATAGAAGGATGAATAAAGAACAACTAAGAGATATTCTTTTAAAAGCAGCTAATATCCTGTATGAGGAAGATAAACAATTCGATCTAATCTTCCAAAAAATGGATACTTCTTGGTAAGTATGTTAATATTAATATTACAAACATACTACAACCGCTTTTTTATTTTTCGAAAGTTAAATTGTTAACATTATATAGTCAAAATCGTTTATAACGAACTTCAGGAGACTGGTGGTTTTTGTACGTTATAGCCAGTGTTCTCTGTAAGCGGTTCTATAGGTTATAATGAACAGGTTGCTATAAACGATATTACACTTGTAGGAACAGTTAGTTCATTGTATCTAGGTTTATGACGCAAAAATGTGTTACACTATCTATACTTATAATATGTTATAATAACATATTATACATAACATTTAACATATGTGTACTTACGTAAATCTACATTATGCACATACATACATACATATTGAACCATGGACGTATAAACACAGATGGACTCAATTATTTACATAAAATTGTGTAGTCAAAATTATTTGAATAGGTCACATTCTCAGCACCTTGAACTGTTGTCACGTTTTATTTTAAAATTTCTTATTCGCGAGTCGCTGAAAATATTACTCCGTATTTTATACTCTACAGGTGCTATCAAACCAAAATAATA